GGCACTTGACCACTAAGCCACAACCCCAGCCTATTTTATATTTTATTTAGGGACAGGGTCTCACTGAGTTGCTTAGCACCTCACTGTTGCTGAGGCTGGCTTTGTGATCCTCCTGCCTCAGCCTCCCAAGCTGCTGGGATAACAGGCGTGCACTATTATGCCCAGCTATGATAGTCTTTTTATTAAGCACCATATAAAAGATTTAGAATTCTAAAAGGCATATTTAGTAAGTAAAACTCCTATGTAAGTCAGGGACCAACCAGAAAAACATAAATCATTTAAGTACTTAAAATGGAGGGAATTATCCTTCGTGAGGATTAGAAAATGGTACCTGACATGGGGAGATATGTCAGTGAAGGGACACAGGGGGCTAACTCAAGTACAGATAGGGTTCAGCTCCTTGCCTTTTGGTTTGGTGCCTTTGTGTAGAGCATACCCTCCACAACTGTATATAGTGGCCCTGGTTATCCTCATTTTAATGAAATAAATTGAATAATTTTCCCAATATCATATGGTAAATAAATGGACAATCAGAGATTACCAGATTCCGAATTTTCAGTGAATTGCTGTTGATTTCCTCCCTGTCCAAGAGCTTCAATGTTTTAATTTTATGAAGTGTAGAAAAGATTCCTCCATGGTCAAGGTTCATGAACAGTCTGTTCACTACTGACTAGATCTATTCATGGATCTGGGAACTTCTCTTAAGTTTGTCTTTTCTTCTTCGTTTTTTCTTTCCCACCCCTTCTCCTCCTTCCTCTTCTTTTTCTTTTACTCCTCCTTTCACCTTCCTCTCCTTTTCTCCCTTCCTCTCCCTCCCTTTCCATTTCTCCCTCCTGTTCTTCCTCCATTTTAGACCCAGGATGAGGGATAGTGGTGACATTCACAAATTATTATTCCATTTGGAACACAGAGAATTCAGCTTTCTTTGTTCTCAGAGGAAAACAACATCTGGTGGAAGTGGAAAGGGCTGGGCCCTAGTGTCCTGTGTTTTCCTAGTGACTATTTACCAGATTCTATGGTTTCACTGATGAACCATTGGTTTATGGCAAAGGGGCAGGAGGACCGTTTAGACTTAGGAAGGATTGTTCAAGGTACTCTGATATATTATTTGGTTTTTATCCTTCACCTTCACTCATTTAAGCACTCATTAAATATGTCTATAACAGTGTTTAGGGTGCCACTGAATGCACTTTATCATCAAGGAGTGCTGGTTGATTACAAGAAGGACTACTAGCTAAACTCAAATGATACTGATTTCAAAACCAGAACCTCAACATGAGTTCATGTTGGGAAGCAAGTAGGGCTGATATGTCTTATTCATGTCATCTTCTTTCCCAGTATCAAAGTACTTGGGAAGTTGAATTAATAACCAGGAAGTTGCTAAGTGAGCATGGAATCAGAACAGGTGCTGATGAAATATCTTTACTCGAAATAGAGAACACCCCTCTACTGACTAGCCCCCCAGATTGAGTTTTTCCTAGTGTTTCCTATAATTCAGCCACTTGAATACAAATACTATCTTTAGGATAGTACTCCCCATTTTGCCATTCCTGCATACTACTATATTGTTTTTGTTTAAATGAGTAGAAATTTTAAAAAACTTTATTTACTTTAGCTTTATTCTAAATGACTGTATTTCTGAACTCCCATTTGGTGTGTTATAGTTTTCTAATACATACTAAAATAAAAAATTAAATCAAAATTAAAAGTGGAATATATACCATACTTTGGTAAATATTGCTTTAGCTGTTATTAGAAAAATACAAAAAAATTGTCTCTTTAAACCTGGTTTGGTATTAAAACCAGTCTCTGTTGAATTTAAATTGATGTAGCATGATGGTATTTTGAAGACATTGTATCCCCTTCCACCTCTATTTTGTGTTGATATTATGTAGCTCCAACTTACAATATTTTTATTTCATCTTTTTTAAAAAATATTTTTTATTTTTTTAGTTTTAGGTGAACACAATATCTTTATTTTATTTTTACGTGGTGCTGAGACTCAAACCCAGTGCCTCACGCAGGCTAGGTGAGCGCGCTACCACTTGAGTCACATCCCCAGCCCCTTATTTCATCTTTAAATATATAATCATGTGCAGAGTAGCAGATTTTCAAATATTTATGGCACCTAAGAATAAGCATCTATTCTCCTCCATTTGAGCTAATCCTTTTTTTTGAACTGCTAGTGGATTAAAAAAATTTTTTTTCTGTTTGGGAATTGACTCTAGGGACTCATGAATGTTAGGTGAGCACTCTACCTCTGAGCCACAACCCTACCTGTTAAAAAGAAATTTTTATAAGCCTTGACATGGTGCTAGACACAGTCTACATCAATTTAGAAAACATTCAGACAATGTAGAGATAATACTAAAACATAAAAAGACTAAAGTATCAGTTTTCTTTATCTATATTAACTTGGAGAAATTAGTGCCTCTTTCTAAATTGTGAAGAGTCATAACTATAAGCTTTTGCCTTGAGAAAACTGTTGACATACCTAATTATATGGGACTTGGAGAATTTGGAGAAACTGTATTTGATTGGAGGCTCACCTTCCCTGCCTGCTAGCTGCCTAATGAAACTTTTGAGGGAGGAAACAAATTTTTAAATTTCAGTTAATACTGTTATTCTTTTTTATTTTTATATTTTAATAGTACTAGGGATTGAACCCAGGGGTTCACACATTCTAGGCAAATACCGTACCATTGAGCTACATTCCCATCTCTTTAAAAACAAAACAAAACAAAAACAAAAACAAGTTTGTCCCCCCAGTACTGGAAATGGACCCAGGGGAGATCTACCACTAAGTTACATAAGTCCAGCTCTTTTTATTTTTATTTTGAGATAGGGTCTCTGTAATTTGCCCAGGCTGGCAATCCTCCTGCCTCAACTTCCTGAGTAGTTGGGATTAAAAGTGTGCACCAATGGGTTTGGCTAGCACTGTCATTCTTTTTACTACCTTGAAACAGGATAATTTTACTTGTAGTACCTAACATAATGTCTGAAATACTATCCTTTTCATTTTTTTTTCACTTCCTTGAAACATGGGCTAATTTTATTTGAAGTACCCAAAATAATACCTGGCATACAGTAAGTGCTCATTTAAAGTCAATTTAATAAGGAAATGGATTCTAGTTTTTTACTTATGTCGCAATGTATTACCACTACTAATTTAAGATCCTTCAGTGGGAACTGAAAATAGAATATATTGGTTTCATTTTCCTGGGACATACAGGAAGGAGCAAATGTTTACTGAAGCATGCTTGTTCTTTTTCACTGTTTATGTTCAACTTTTGAACTATATTATTTTTACCCACTACTTATTTACCTTTTCCTCAATATTGAAATTCAATTCTCATTGTAATACCCTTTTTAATAATCTGGGCTTGGTTTCACACATTTATGAAAATAAGAAACTTGAAAGCAACAAGAATTGTTGTGATCCGTGAAAACAAAAAGAATTTGTTCCCTCTAAAAGGCAGAGAATGTTTGTTAAGTGTTTTAGATAATATGTTCATTTTAGAACATTTGTCCAAATTTTATTTTATTTTAATTTTTTTGGCAGTACTGGGAATTGAATCCAGGGGTGCTTTCCCATTAAGCTACATCCCCAGCCCTTCCCCTTTTATTTTTGAGATAGGGTCTTGCTAAGTTGCTCAAGCTGGCCAGGAACTTGTGATACTCCTGCCACAGCTTCTGAGTAGCCAGGCTTACAGTCATACTCTATCATGCCCAGCTCCAAGTTTTAAATGGCAGTTATATTAGAATATATTTTGGCTAGGTCTTTGTTGAATATGATCAATTCACCTTGTGAATAATCTGATAGTTAAACGCTAACTAGATAAGTCCTTACATATTTTATACCTTTATTTCACTTATTTCTTTTTATGTGGTGCTGAAGATGGAACCCAGTGTTTCGTCAGGGTCTCCCCCGTGCGAGGCGAGTGCTTTACCGCTGAGCCACCACCCCGGACCCAATCCTTGCATATTCTTAATGCTGAAACAATAGGTGGTTCTAGAGAGGAAAGATTTAAAGCTGTGTCTGAGCCTAAGCACCTTATCTTTGATGCCTGAGTATGAGACTATATTGGGATTTATGTTCCTGAGTGAGATATCCAGGAATTTCTTCAAAGATTCAGAGAAAGAAAAGTGACAGAAATAAAAGGTAAGTTTATAACTATGCTTTTTGAACAACTTCATGTCATGTGCCTTGAAGGGATGGGAGAAATACTGAGGGGTTTTCCCTACTTTTTGAAGTAGGTAGAAAGAGAATATTTAATTGATGAGAGCATTAGTTATTGAAATAACCCTTGGCCATTGTTTTGGTCAGTGGCCCTAGGGATATAAAAAGGAGGACTGCAAATGGCCTTGATGAACGACCTACGCCAGCATCAATTCCATCCTTCCTTCTGGAGCAGAGGCTGTTTCCTTCTTACAAAGGTGAACCACCAACTTTATACGATAGGCTTTCTTTACAACACCCTGGGGTACCACCAGAATGGAGCCTCATCCTCACCCTTCATACAGGGAGGAAAAGGGTTACAACACTCTACTGGCCTCAGCCTTACACGGAGGCACTGGTTCCCCAGATGTGAAGCCATCACCTCAGAAATTGAGAACCAGAGAGGCCAACATCCAGGGACTGTGAGAGGCAAAAGGGGCGAGAAGTCTAAAAGGATTTGAAGGAGGGTATTACTCTACTCCCCTTTTATTTTTATGTTAGAAAATGGAGGTGGACAGCTTTTGCTTGCACAATTTGCACAGGTTAAATCTAGAGCCTCTCCAATATTGAGAATCCCACCCACAACGTGGAGACAGGGGACCCATGGCCAGCAGTGTAGCCACATGCCTAAAGAAATCCTCAACGAGTGTGTACCAAAGGTTCCTGCCACTGAAGCCCTAAACATGAGCAAATAGGGAACATACGGGCCTCAGGGAGAGGTGGGACTCTGCCCACCGTCAGAGCGCTGATTGGCTGGTGGCGCTCGTCGCTTGGTGCTATTTGTTGTTGGAGCTGCGCACCTGACGCAGACTGCGTCTGCACGTGCAGCCGTTTAAGCGGCGACGGATCCTGTGAGGACCAGAGAGAACTGGAAGCGGAGAGGTGAGTGGGTGTGGAGCTTACTTTGGGGTGCTTGCCTGGCCGTGGCCCAGGCCCTCTGGGGTTCTCGTCGCTGGGCCTTGTGCCAAAGAAAGAGAGGGATGGGCCTGAAAAGCATTTGAAGCTTTCTTTGGGAGCCTTTCCCTCTCCTGTCTTGAGTCTAAAACCCTGTGGGTGACCTGAGGCTTGAGGCCGGCGGAGAAGGTGGTGAAGGGTCTTTTCCCCAGCGATTACGCAGCCTTTTTTCTGACAAAAATTGTTATAGGACCATTTGTGTACAGACATTCCTGGAGGAAAGTAGTTGTCCTGTGTTGGAGAAATTTAGTTTTAACCTTTCTGTTCCAGTCTCCAAGGTCTTTCCCTAACCTCTCCATCCCAAGCAAACAAGAAACCTGTATCAGACTTCCTGTCTACCTTTGGAGGGGAGCGAAAGGAGAAAGCTTAGAAAGGCGGAAATCTTGAGTAGTATCTTAAAAAATTTCCATCCCCTTAGTATCCAACAAGCTCTTTGTGGGGGATACTTTGACACAGAACCGTTTTTTGGGACAGAGCCTAAGCATCACCGGCAACGTGGTGATTGCTAGAATGATTAGTTAAGTGGTTCATCTGGCTTTGAAATATAAAAAGGATGGCTATAAATGCAATCACTAGATAATAAGCAATACCCAATTCTCCAATTTTTTTTTTGCAAAATCCTTTTGGGAAGATTAGCAGTTAGTTGAGCATTTCCAAGAGCTATATGTGAAACAATGATTGTTGATTGTTTATACTTTTTTTTTTTTTTTGGTGGGTGTGGATGTGCCGGGAATCAAACCCTGGGTCTCATTTGCTCTGTGAGGGAGTTATATCCCCACACGGATAGTTTATGCTGTTAAACACAGTTCTTATTAATGGAGGTCAAAGTGCTTTTTCCCCCCACAAAATAAAAATAGAACTTGAAGCCACCATGGGAGATGAAGATTGGGAAGCAGAAATCATCAAACCTCATGTGTCTTCCTATGTTCCTGTATTTGAAAAGGTAATAAAATTTAAAGTGTGCAGTTATTAAATGCTATGGATTTTTATCAAAGTTGAAAAACTGGTGGGGAAGTTTTAAATTATAGACTATTTCAGTGTTTATCTCTGTGGTTGTTATAAACTATTTTATGGGGAATGAGAAAGAATGCCTGTGTAGAATTATGTATCTGATAATGTGACAATTAAAAGCTAAATTAGATGTGATATGAAGAACTTATTTACATCTCAGTGATTTAGGACTTACAGGTGAAAGCAAGCTTGTTCAAATTTGGTGGAATGTCTCTGAGGGACACTTACATGGAAAATTGGCAAAAGTTTGGTTCTGGATGATATTTTGAATTCTGAAAATTGGTTTTATGCAAGGAAGGCTCCTAAGACAAATATTTTAGGTTGATTCAAATGGTGCCATCAGCTTAATATATTACAGATCATCAGATCTTTTTCCTGTTTGGTATTTGCGAAATTGCATTGTAATTCAGAAGCAGTGGCGCTGGGTTAGATTTTTTGGGTTTCAGTTATGACTTTTAAAAAATTTGTGGAATGAAACTTGATAATATGGGTTAAGGGATTGATTTTGCAGAAGTGTTACTTTGTTGACATTATCTCCAAAAGTTTTTATTCTCTTCAGAATTTCCTGTTTGTGTGTAAGACAATAAATTTTGATACTTTCTGATTTTAAGTGATGCTTTTGTGTAAATCCTTATTTTATACAAAAAATGCAGTTCTTTAAATTAACTGGAATTGATTCATATGTGGAGTTTGAATAGCAATACCCCAAATATTAATCTGATTTTGTCATGTTTCGTATCTTGGAAGTTATTTTAGAAATAAACATCTTTTTGTTATCTTCTTATAGTCGTCTTTCATCATAAAAGCATAACCACATTTTTGTGAAAAAAGGAGAAAAATCACCTAAAAGTGTTGCTCTCTAGCATAGTTACTCCTATGAAAAGCTTCCTTCTATCTTCCAAAATATGTTTTTATTAGAGTATATAACAATTTTTTTTTTTAAGTACTGAAATTGAACCCAGGGCCTGATGCATACTGGGCAAACATGGTACCATTGAGCTACATCCCAGCCCTATCACAGTAATTTTTGAATCCAGCTTTTGTTTTTTTTTTTACTCTTTACAGATTATTCCGTATTACTAATTTCCTACAAATAATTTCTTGTGCATACATAAGACCTATGGAAAGGATCTGTCATAATATGAATGATTTCTGTTGTGGGAACTTAAGATGGTGTTAGTTTTTTACTTTGACATTGTTATAAGTTCCTACAACTTATTTAATTTGGGAATTTTTTTTTCTCAAAAATAGAATTACTTGTTAGGTGTGGTGATGCACCCTTGTAATCCCAGTGGCTTGGGAGGCTGAGGCAGGGGGATTGTGAGTTCAAACCCAGCTTCAGCAAAAGCAAAGCACTAAGCAACTCAGTCAGATCCTTTCTCTAAATAAAATACAAAATAGGACTGGGGATGTGGTTCAGTGGTTGAGTGCCCCTGAGTTCAATCCCCAATAAATCCTCTCCTCCAAAAAAAAAAAAAAAAGGAATTATTTGGTCAGAGGATATTTTATGGCTCCCTTTTCACCCCCTTTTTCTTAATAGATTTGCTATAATACAAAGTTTAATATACAGATAGACTTTGTATTTTTTTTCATCAGTCTAGTTTTTATTTTTTTAGTTTGAGATGTTTGTCTGAATGGAGCGCTCTTCAAACAGCACAGTGCACTGCAGTATGTTGTGCATATTTGTTGTATCAAGTTTCAGAAATTGAGGATTAGCTATTACATCTTGCAAGTTCACCTTTTTGGAGTCATTGTAGTATTCGTAACATACCTTGTATCATGACTTTTGGAATACTAAATAGAATGTGAATTTATGTTGATAATTTCACCTTACAGTTCTTAATACATCTGTACGGGGCCAATTTATAGTAAATTTTTTACATTTGTCTGCAAACTTGACACCTGGTGCTGGTTGTGCAATTAGTAACTTCCTAGTTAACTTGAACATGATGCAGTCAGTAGCTTTGTTTTCCTTTCTTGATTAAGTGCAGAGAATAAGGATGTATACATGACATTTTTATGGAGGAAAATTTGGAGGTCTTTTATTCCCTGCCATTTTTTTATTTAAGGCACCAATTTTTTTAAAAAAAATACTTTTTAGTTGTAGATGGACACTATACCTTTATTTTATTTATATGTGGTGCTGAGGATCGAACCCAGGGCCTCACACATGCTAGACCAGTGCTCTACGGCTGAGCGAGCCATATCCCAGCCCTAAGGCATCCCTTTGATTGGTCATTCTAAATAAGTTTTCATCTCAAAACTAGGTGGTGCTTTCCTTTTAAATTTATAGTGGCTTTAAAAAAATAGCATTGGATTAATATCAGTTTAAGCAATATATATCATCAGACTTTTATGAGTGCTTTGCAGGAGCTTTTTTTTTTTCGAGATATGTTCATAAATGCTTGTATAGTTTTGCAGTAATAGGGCACTGTTCTGGTAGCACTTAGAAAGACATGGTGGCACACACCTTGTAATACCAGAGATTCCTTAAGTTGAGGCAGGAGGAGAGCAAGTTTGAGGCCAGCCTGGGCAACTTAGTGAGACCCTGTCTCAAAATAAGAAAAGTTGGGGATGTAACTCCATGGTAGAGTGCCTCTGGATTCAGTCTCCAGTACCTGTCCTCTTTTTCTCACAGAAAAACTCCAAACTCCAAAATCTTGATTTTGAAGTGAGTACAAAACCTGGGGGAATAGAAAAATGAAAGATATGAGTTATAAAAAATGTGGTAACTTAGCACTTATAAATTCCAGAAATCTCAGTAGTTGACATTTGTACATAGTATGCAGACTTATTGGGATGAGTGTTAGAATGTATGGATATGGTGAGTGTATTAGATATTTAGTTTGCTTACTTATTATTAGCTGTTTGTGTTTTTTGTTAGATGACCAGATGATTAAATGTAGTGGTCATTACTATATTGAATAAATTTCCATTTTTGTGGTACATTTCAGAAGATAAAAACTTTTGTGATTAAAGTGGAAACAGTGTGAGATAATTGTTCCACAGTGGTAATTGTGTTAAGTAGCAGTAGCAAAGTTAGTAATAATTTAGAAAAGGAGCTTGCATATGACATTCCAGAATTGAAAAGGGTACAGGTGAAAAGAAAGGTGTTCACCAAAATAGGATATTTTGTAGCTGCATAGGGGAGTTCTTATGTGTTAAAACATTTTGAAATTTAAATTTTTTGTTTCAGTACTGGGGATTGAACCCAGGTTCTAGCACATGTTAGGCAAGTGCTCTCCCACTAAACTACATCTCCACCTCTTCACTAAGTTTTGTTTTGTGACAGGGTCTTGCTACATTTCTCAGGCTGAACTTGAATCTGTGATCCTTTTGTCTCAGCCTCCCAAGTAGCTGGAATTAAGGGTATACACCACTATTCCTGGCTTGAAGTTTCTAAATTGGTTCACTTGGGTGATTTAAGAGGTTACAAATGATTTATAGCTAGGTGTCTTAAAAGTAAACCGACAAGCCTTCTGATCATTCAACATATATTTATTGAATTCGGTGTGCTGAAGGTAGTGTTGAACATGATGAAATACTTGCTGTCAAAGACTTGTATTTTATTTGGGGAGATAGAATAAGCACATTTGTGAACCAGATAATTATGAATGATTAAAAAGTGCTATGGATGGGTCTGGGGTTGTGGCTCAGAGGTAAGCATTAGGGCACTCATCTAGCATGTGCAAGGGACTGGATTCGATCCTCAGCACCACATAAAAATAAAAAAGTAAAGGCATTGTGTCCAACTACAACTAAAAAAATATATTTTTTAAAAAAAGTGCTATGGAAAAAATAAGGAATTTTGTGTGTGTGTGTGTATGGGGGAGGGTTGGTTCAAGTGGAGAGAGGGAAGGCTTCCTTGACTCATGAGTGGGAGATCTGAAACAGTCCCCAAAAGCCATTATTTATCAAGCTTCTGAGTCAGAGGAAGGAAACTTAGAATATTTGGATACCAAGAAAAATGTGAATGTGTTGAGTTCATGTGTCTGTGGCAACAATTACCCCTAATTGGGTAATTTAAAACAATAGAAATTTATTCTTATATTGTTCCAGAAGTCAGAAGTTAGAAATCAAGGTTTGAGCAGGTCTACCTTCCATCTTGAAGCTCTTGGAGAAAATCTTTTTCTCTTCTATCATCTGGTAGCTGTAAGAGGACATTGGTTTGTGGTTGCATTTCTTAGCTGTGTTCACATGGCCATTTCCTCTGTGTATTTGTGTTATCTCCCTTTACCCCTTTCAAAGGACCCACTCACATAAAACACTGTAATATCTTCATTTCAAAATCCTTAGTCACATCTGCCATGACCCTTTTTCAAATAAGTAACACAAAGTCCAGGAATTAGGATTATTTGTTAATGACCATTATACAATTTATTACAACCAATATGACTAAAGCACAATGAAATAAGACAAGAGTAGTAGAAGTTGAATTCAGAGAAGGAAAGGGAAAAGGAGAGGAATTGGAGGTACTTGCATATAAAGACAAGTTCTTTTCTGTGCATAAGTGAATTTTCTTAGAGTGATTTCCATTTGAAAAATTTGGATATATTAACGATTTCATTTTATATAAACACAGTGGAAGTTTTAAAAATAAATTTCTTTATTGTTGAAAGTGTTAAGCCACTAATATCCTTCTGACAATGTCAGAACCTCAGTAGTAGCCTAATGTTACATCACAATGCCTATGTTGTTCACTTTACTTCCTCTTATTACCTAAGCATTGTATCATTTCACATTATAAGAAGAGTGAGTACAGCCCAATAAGATATTTTGAGAGACCATATTACATAATTTTATTACATAATTATAATTATTTTTATTTTGTTAATATCTTATTGTGCCCAATTTATAAATTAATCACAGGTATGTTTGTGTAGGAAAAAATATAGTGTGTCTGTATGAATTTTCAGTGTTTGATATCCATTGTTTCAGGCATCCACTAGAAGTCTTAGGATGCATTCTACTGGAAAAGGGGTTACTATTCTAATTTTCTATTTGTGAAATAGATGACATTCTTATTATGCAAAGTGAAAAACTAGTCTTTCCTCTTACAGGATAAATATTCTTCTGGAGCAAATGGAGACACTTTTAACAGGACTTCAGCTTCATCATCAGGTATGTGTTAAGGAAAAAAAGGCAAAACTCTTTTAGAATTTCATCTAGTGAATAAGGAGCAGACTGATAGACATATTTAAAATTTTTTTCTAATATTTACTTTTTAGTTGTAGTTGGACACAACACCTTTATTTCACTTGTTTATTTTGTATGTGATGCTGAGGATCAAACCTAGGGTCTCGCACGTGTGAGACGAGCTCTGTACCGCTGAGCGACAACCCCAGCCCAGCATATCTTTTAAAATAAATTTTTGGTTGTTTATATGGTACTGAGGATCAAACTAGTGCCTCATGCGTCCTAGCTAGGCAAGTGCTCTCCCACTGTGCTACAATCCATCCCCCTGATAAGGGGATGTTTTTAAAATTTCCTAGTGAGAATTCTTTATAATTTGGATACCTTGGGTTGGAGGCACTTCTAGCTAGAGTAGGGGAGAGAAGGGAAAGTGTAGTGTTAGTTTAGTGGATTACTGTAAACCTTTGTTCAACCTGGAAGTTGCATGTTTTGCTTCTAGGTTGCTAGAGTATTGTCAGGATTCCTGACATAGAGAAGTATGATACTGTATATTATATGTAAAGTTATTGAAGCAGATTCCAATGGTAGTGGGTAAGAATGGCCAGGGTAAGAACTATTCAAGCCACGCATATCATGCCATTAAGATATGAGTTTCTTTGAGATCAGAAAACTAATTTCGGATAAGTCCTAAGAGAAGAAGAGAAATGAATGTCAAGATAAAGGAGCCCTATCCTTCCTGCTGCTCTCAATTACTTTCTCTGAACTTGTTTCCACCTGGGCTGCTTCCTCACACTGATGCATTCACCTTGATTGTCCAACACACATACTCTCTCTAATATAGAGTTGATGTGGATGGGAAGATGGGTTTAAGTGGGAGGGCTTAGTCTAGGAAGTTAGACTCATGACAGTAGTCTTTTGCTTTATCGAAGTTCAAAGCAGGCTGAAATGGATTGCTATTGTATTGAAAGAATTTTTTATTGTGGTTATTGCAATTTTGACCTTTTTAAAGTGTATAGTTCACTGACATTAAGTATATTCACATTGCTGTGTAACTACCAACCTTCATCCACCTCCAGAACTTTTTCATCTTCCCAAACTGAAATTCTATACCCATTAAACAATAACTTGAAACCACCATTTTACTTTAAAAATTTTTTTTTCATTGTAGATGGACACAATACCGTTATTTTATTTATTTATTTTTATGTGGTTCTGAGGATCAAACCCAGTGCCTGACATGTGCTAGGCAAGTGCTCTACCTGCTGAACTATAATCTCAGCCCCACCATTGTATTTTTTGTGAATTGAATTACTATGTGTTTGCTGTGAGTCTCTATGTATTTGAGTTAATATTTTCAGAAAGCTAGATTAAATATTCACAGAACTAAGCAAAAGCTCAGCTTTTAGTCGGTGGTTATTTCAGACTAATGAAACAAAATCAGTCAATTATGTCTTCTTATTACAGAATATATGAGGCAAATGAATGTATACTAAACTGATAGTTCAATATGTTTATTTCCCCCCAAAAAATAAGAAACAAAATTATCTGAAATCCTGATTTTCATTTGTAGATTTAGCCACTTGTTGACAGTCCTTTGATTTTTTTTTTTTTTTAGATCTCTCTATATATCCCGCAGAGATAATTGTATTCCACTGGCTTTACACATACTTCTTTTTATTATAAATATTTGTCTTGTTTTTCCTTTGCCTACCTGCCCTTGCATTCCATGTCCTTCTTATGTTCTTAGAATTGTACTTGAAAATATTTCTTTATGTATTTCATAGAAATGGAATCTTATTATACCACATCTTTTACTTAATGATAGTCACAGAAAACTTTCTAAGCAACTATTATAATCTAATTCTTTCCAAAATTAAGTGAAAAAAGTTCACATCTGGTTTTAAAATGTCAGAGCTTATAGGCCACGAAGTTACTTTTATATAGTAGTTCTTTTATAAAGTTACTACTTTATAGCTATGTATATGTCATTCACTTTTGAACTCCATAATATGGTTTCATTTCTTTTATCAACCCTCTGTTTTTTTGCTAGTTAACTCTTGTTTCGTTAGCTTGAAATTCTGTGTTCCTATTGCTAGTTCATTTCCAAACTCTCTACCAGAAGCACAAACAAATATCCATTTAGTTTACAACATATAATGTGATCTATCAATTTCCTTTTTTAATTGGAAAAGGATTTGAATACTCCATTCAGCTGTTTTAGTATAGACTGGCCTTTCTCTAGCTTTCTCCCATTCCATTTTCTCTGGATCGTATGTTTCTTCTGCCTTGAACCCTCCACCCCCCTCACTTTGCCAGAATTCATTTTTCTTCAGCTTTCAGAGAGAGGAAATTGAAAATGTCTTAACCTTCGTGCTTCATTGATAGTATAAGGGAAGAATCTTAGCTTGGAAATAATTTTGAATCTTATTGTGTGAAATTCTAGTGATGGTGTTAAGAAGTTTGATATTCTGAGTCCTGACCCTTTGTATATGCCTACTTTTAAAACATCTCTAGAGCTTTTAGTATCTTTTTTTGCCTATGTATACATAATAAACATTTTCAGACATGTCTATCATGTAACAGTTTATCAAAGCAGATTGTCAAGAATGTAATCCTATCATTATTGAGTACTGTTGTGCTAAAGTCTGCTTTCACACATTGATTGAAGATGGAAACATGAGCGAGAACACCTTATCACCTTTTCTGTTGGTGTTTTTGTTTCACAAGTTGGGGACTACTAGGTTTGGTGTTTTTTTTTTTTTTTTAAATCAGGGATCAAACTTAACCATTGTGCCATTGTGCCATATTGCTAGTCCTTTTTATTTCTTATTTTTAAATTTTGAGGCAGTATCTTGTTAAGTTGCTTGGGTGTCTCACCAAGTTGGGGAGGCTGGCTTTGAACTTGAGATCTTCCTGTCTCGGCCTCCTGAGCTGCTGAGATTATAGGAGTGCACCACCACACCTGGCTATTATTATTTCTCTGAAATTATGGAAATATCATCCATTTGCACTGTTCAGTATGATAGCTACAAGCTACATTTGGCTGTTGAGGGTTTAAAATGTGTTATATATTTTATGATAATTAAATATTTTTTATTTTTAATCTGTTATAAATTACCTTTTAAAAAAGGTATTCTAGGTCTCGTAGTTCAGTGGTAGAACTCTTACCTAGTATGTGTGAGGCACTGGATTCAATCCTATAATTATGTTTATCTACAACTAAAAATTTTAAAAAAGGGTATTTAATATTAAAATACCCTTATATACTGGGATAAAACCAACTTTCTCATGATATTAAAGTGTTTTTTAGATGTAGATGGACACAGTACCTTTATTTATTTTTATGTGGTGCTGAGGATTGAACCCAGAGCCTCACTCGTGCTAAGGCAAGTACTCTACCAACGGAGCTACAGCCCCAGCCCTCTAGTAATATTTTATTCTTTCAATTTACTGTGGGGTCTGGTTAGCTAATATATTGAAATTTTGTATCTGTTAGTAATGGGGGGCTTATAATTTTTTTCTGTTTTGTTATATCAGAGTTATTCTAGCCTTGAGAAATAAATTGGTGAATAGTATATTTTCTAGAAGATGTGTATGATATTGGATTGATTAGCTTTTTGCCTGTTTTATAGAACTCTCCTGTAAAACACTCTCTGGGCTTGATGTATAAATTTAAAGTCTCATTGAATTTCTATAGGATAACTGTGTGTGTATGTGTGTTTGCATTATTTCTTAAGTTAGTTTTGGTGAGTTAATTTTTGGAAACTTTTCTGTTTTTTTTTTTTTTCCTTTGGTTCTAGGATTGAACCCAGAATCTTGCACATGCTAGTCAAGCAATTTACCACTGAGCTACATCCCCAGTCCTTTTTGTTTTTTATTTTGAGAGTGACTTTGAGTCCTGAGGGTGGTCTCAAACTTATGATCCTTCTGCCTCAGCCTCCCAAGTAGTTGGAATTATGTGTGCTACCACACTTGGTGATTCTAAGTGTTTTAAACTTCCATTGTAATATATTTCTTTGAGTTATGAGTTCTGTTGAAGTGCTTAAAAAATGTAACAATATTTATGATTGATTTATAGAATAAACTGGTTCTCTTCTCAAACAATAGATTTTACTGAATGGTTGAAGGAAATGAATGAAGCATGGTGATCAGTTTGGTTTATTTGATTGTATGTTAGGAATTAGATTTCCAAGACATAATAATTTACATTACAACACTCTACTGATGCACAAATGTCACTTCTGTTAGTGTTGCTATTATCAAACTAATTTTCTTCATCAGAATATCTTAAATTAATGAAACACTGTTACATTAAAAAAGAACAAATTCCAGCCAGGCTTGGGGGTGCATGCCTGTAATCCCAGTCACTTGGGAGGCTGAGGCAGGAGGATTGAGAGATCAAAGCCAGCCTCAGCAACTTAGCCGGGGCCCTAAGCAACTGAGTGAGACTTGTCTCTAAATAAAACATAAAAAAGGGCTGCGGATGTGGCTCAGCGTTGGGTGCAATCCCTGGTACCCACCCCCCCACCAAAAAAAAAGAAGAAAAAAAAACCCATTTCAGATATAAAGGGATTCTAAGCCTTTTGTGTATATGGTATTAATTTTTGAAATTTGTTATGTTTGTGGCCCGCATAGCAGGTTTTAAAAATTTATTTATTTAATTATTATATTTTGGTACTGGAGATTGAACTCAGGGACACATAACCACTGGGCCACATCTCCAGCCCTATTTGAATTTTATTTAGACACACGGTCTCATTGAGTTCCTTAGCCCCTCAACATTGCTGAGGCTGGCTTTAAACGCCTAATCCTCGTGCCTCAGCCTCCTGAGCAGCTGGGAGTATAGGCATGCACCGCTTCGCCCCGCCCTAGGTTTTTAAATAAACATTCTGTTGTGGAAGAAAGTTCTGTAATGTTGAGTGCTACATATTTCTATGAAACTAATGTGCATAGCATTCTATGGATGACTAATTTCTTTATTCTCTTTCAATTTTGCTATTATCTGTGCTTATAAAAAACATCTTTAGCCAGGTGTGGTGGTACACATCTGTAACCTCAACTACTTGGGATGCTGAGGCAGGCGGATCATAAGTTCAAAGCCAGCCTCAGCAACTTATTGAGGCCCTAAACATCTTAGCGAGATCATGTTTCAAAATAAAAAATGGGCTGAGGATGTGACTCAGAGGTTAAGCACCCTTCAGTTCAATCCCCAATACCAAACCAACTCAAACCAAGCAAAAACTCCCTTTGTATCTGTCTCTGTTACTTCACATTAATGTACTTTAGAAAAGTATATACTTTTTAATTTAGAGTAAGATTGATTGGTTCAGTATAGTGTGTGATTTATGTTTGTTTCAGGTGTGTCCTTGAATATTCTGGTTATATTAGCAAATTTAAAAGCACTGGGTATTAGCAAATTTAAAAACAGTCCTGTGGTTGAAAATTGCTATCTCCTCCTTCTGATTTTCAGTTTTGAATTATGAGTGAAATTTAGTCACCATTTTTTTTATTTTGGAGAGTTACCTATTCATATTTTTAGCCCATTTTTCTTCTAGACTCTTCATCATCTTTCTTATTGCGATATAAAATTCCTCTTTTGCTACATGTGGCACATTGAGGAGACTTACAATTTGCATACTACTTGAATACTTATTGTTTGACTTCTTTCAAAATGTCATTTGCTTTAGAAATGGATGATGGACCTTCTCGAAGAGATCATTTCATGAGAAGTGGATTTGCCTCAGGGAGGAGTTTGGGAAACAGAGGTAAGATCTTTGTTTTTCTTTAATCTCCTGGACTTTTGGATAATGGAATGGCTTTCATAGCTGTTTGGTACAAAGCTAAGTATTTTATAACTCCATGTATAGTAGTTTTTTTTTGGGATAATGAGTTCATTTTTTGAAATGTAAATATTCTTTTTGTTGTTTTATTTCTTTGGGGGGTAGTAGGACAAAATTAAATTGATTGGACAGATAGATTAGTTAACAGATTGGTTGGGCAGATGCTCCACATAGCTGTCTCTTCTTAATTTATGATTATTGATTTCTTATAATTCTTATAATTTCTTATAATTAACATGGGAGGAATGTAAAAAGCTTTACAGAGCCAGATGAGGAGGACTCTTGATATATATCATCTATATATATTTATTTATTTTTTGGTACCAGGGATTGAACCCAGCGGTGCTTAACCATCTTTTTAATTTTGAGACAGGGTCTCACTAGTTTGCTCAGGGCCTTGCTAAGATACTGAGGCTGGTTGCACTTGCCATCCTCCTGCCTCAGCCTCCTGAGCTGGGATTACAGGCGTGAGTTTTGTATTTCTTAAGAAAAGGCATTATGGGAAACATTTCTATTAGTTCATTAGTATTAGGTTTATGAGGTTATTTTACCAAGCTTGGGTTCTTAAATTTTACTTTTAGAATTGCCAACATTTTATTTGACAGCTGGTAACACAATGAGATACCTTCCTATAATTCGTTTATTTAGACTTCATAGTAAAATGCTGAAAATATTCTAAATCATTTTTTATAGTGCAATAACATAATTAGAAACTCAAATTAAAAATCTGTATGACTTTCTTGGCATGGTAGCTAATTCCTGTAATCTTAATGACTTGGGAGACTGAGGTAGGAGGATTGTAAGATTGAGGCCAGCTGGGCAACTTAGCAAGACTCTGTCTCAAAATATAAAAAAAGTGTTGGGGATGTAGCTCAGTGGTAGAGGACCACTGTGTTTAATTTCTGATACAAAAAAAAATTATTTTTTTAGGGGATTCCATAGCTAGGGCTATTTAGTACTTTTAAACATGCATAATACTTCTCCTTAAATTTATTTTTGAAAGATTTTATTATATTTCCAATTCCTTTTTCATCATTGGAATCTAAAAGTTAATATGTGTTATTTCATTTGACATTTGGAAAACATAGTTTCTATTTAGATACAATGAACACAAATTTGAATTTTATATTTGGATATGGTCCTTCTAGTTGACTTAATTTATATTTTAAATATGCATACATATCTTGCTTTTAAAGCTTACATGTCAAGGTATGCTCATTTGGATCATGTAATTAATTGTCACAAGAGGTTCAGATGTGGGCTTTGTTAACTATTACTAACAATAAAAATAATAAATACCTTAATAGTATACTTAAGAATATTTTAATATTTAATATTTTAATATGTTAATATATTTAGATAATTTTAAAATTATAATTTTTGAAGAACTTATGTGATACTTTTTGATGTAGACTTCTGTTGTTGAATAGATCCCTTTTCAGTGACAAAACCACCACTTAGATTTTATCACAAATCATTTTTATATATTTAAAGTTGAAATACACATTAAATCCTGATGAGAACTCTTCTGAATGTCAGTACTTTAAAAAGTTATTTTTATACTATATATACAATCAGAAATTCCTAGATCCACGAGTATTACTTCTTTTCCTTATAATTTGTCTGACATATTGCTTCAATCTCTGGTAATTTTTCTGAGTATAAGTTGTACATTTAGTGAAGTGTTTTTAAAAATTGTCTTAATTACCTAACATTCACTTTTTATGTTCTGTGGAGTATGGCTAAGCAGCTTTAAATTCTTGAATCACATACATCTTTAAGATCTGATGAAAATACTCAGTCGGACGTATACAAGTTTGCACTGATTTTAGGAATTTCAGAGAGTATTATAGAGATAGGTACAGTAATTTATAAGAATCACAGGGAATAGATAAAATTTTCCTGGTGATATTTTAGAATGTCAGTTATGTTGTTTTGGAAGTTTCTAGTGGTTCTTCTTTCCTTCCTCTTGTTCTTTCTCAGTTTTTTTTTTTTTTTAATCTTCTATGCTCCTTGACATTGCATTTCTGCCCTTAAGTAGCTGTTGTTTTTGGGATGGGGTCTTACTGTATTACTAAGACTGGTCTTAAATTGCTGGGCTCAAGTGATTATGCCTTAGTCTCCTGAGTAGCTGGAACTACATGTGTATGCCATGGTGCCTGGCCAAGATTTTTATAATTTAGTGGTACAGAAATATGTGAAAAGAAGTATTACTAAAAAAGAGGTACAGATAGTTTGTTATTGGGAATGTGGAAGAAGGATTATGACTGGAGTGCTGAAGGGCTTTACAGAAAAATTGGTCTTCTGAAGGATGAAAAGAATTCTAGTAGGAAAACTAGGAAAGCAAGGAATACTATTCCAAAAGAACAGCATGTATGAAAGTACACAATACTAGAAGTTCACAGTGTGAAGTAGGAGAACTTATTTGGTGTGATTTAAAATGTTGGTTGTTCAGAATTATGCAGTGGGAAATAAAGCTACAAATGTTAATATAGGCAAATAGTAGTAAGACACAAGAAGATGTGAAGTTGAGTGGTATTGAAAGCTGCTTTTCTTTAGTCCCTAATTTTAATTTTACTAGTATTAATATTATTAATAAATAGAGCAGTTAAAAATCAGAATAAGAGTAAAAAGTTTTCAATAGCAATAACTCTCACAGGGACAGAGTATAATAACAAGGTCTGTCAAGGTGAACATTCAGCATATACAAAATCATGAAATTTGTTTTCTGGTTAAAGGACTCCAGTAACATAACAAATAGTAGAAACCTGTATTTCACTAGCAGTAGATTTATGTTTGTATATTGGTTTTGTTATTTTTTAAAAAAGCTGCAATTAATTTTAAGTTCTTATACTGTTCTTTTCCTGTCCTTGAAAAATCCCTTTACCCCAAAGATTTATTTTATCCCCATTTTTTATTTTTTGTTTTTTTCTAAGTGAAGCTGATAAACTTGACACAAGGCAAAAATCTTAGTAGAGCCTGAATGAATTCTCATTCAATATCTGTATGTATAGTTAGTTGTATATGGTTTATCTTAGTTTAAAGGGGTAACTACTGAGCCATATCAATGACAGGCTCTTGCTTATTTGCTTAGGGTCTCACTAAGTTACTGAGGCTGGCTTTGACTGTGTTTACTCTCCTGCTTCAGTCTACTGAGTTACTGGGATTACAGGCATATGCCACCACTGATGTGCTTAATTTTATGTTAAACAGTTTGTCTAAATTTTTCAGATGCTGGCGAGTCTAATAAAAGAGAGAATACACCCACAGTGGGCAGTTTTGGAGTTGGAAAAGGTTTTGGAAACAGAGGTAGGTATTTACTTCTGATACCTTAATAATAAAAACTTGAGTTAATCTCAAAATTTTCAGTTTTTTGGTTCATAATTCCCTCTAATATACATAGAAAATATTTGTCTTTTTCAAGAATTTATGAGGATCACAAGAAAGTGAGTGCTTTTACTTTTCTAGTTGTAGTTTAAAATAGCAGTTTGTGCTGCTTTGGATGTTCATGCATTTTTTTTTTAACTGTCTCCTGCTCCCCCAAACAGCCATGTTCCTTGCTCAACTTCTCTTCAGATGGATTTATCCTACTCAATGAATCTCAGTTCTTTAATACTCGCCAACCTCTACCAAGAAATCCATCTTAGACGATTCTGAGTACTCATTTTTAGTTGAGCCAGCAACCAGTAGTTTGAAATTATATTTTTTCCTTAAGAACTTAAAAAAATTATAATTCAGGCAGAATTTATGATCAAATCTAATAATGTGTAGGTGAGAGACTTTCCCAAGATTTGGGAAACTTAGCACTGACTTCTCTTAGAGGAAGAATGAGGAGGGAGCAGCACTTGTAGAAGGTTTTAGAATATAGTCTTTTCTCAAGCATCTTCAAACACTGCAAATATTTAGATGAGTGAAATAATTCAAATTAGATTTTGTAGAACTATATTCTTTCTCTAGAGATTATCTTTATATATTTTAAGATAATATATCTATCTGTTCCAGGAAAAATTCTTCTGTTATTCAATCATATAGCAAGGTTATAGGGTACCTGGTTTTTATATACTAGCTTTGTATTAAAATTTTATGGAATTTTATTGCTGGAAGGGACCTTAGATTTTGTTTAGTAATGTTAAGAGATGTTAAGTGAGGGGCTGGGATTGTGACTCAGCAGTAGAGTGCTTGCCTCACACGTGTGAGACCCTGGGTTTGATCCTTACCACATAAAAATAAGTAAGTGAAATAAAAGTATTGTGTCGAACTACAACAACAACAACAACAACATAATAATAATAATAATAATAATAAAAGAGAGATGTTAAGTGACTACACACACACACAATTTTGTGTTCAAATTGGGTAGCTATCTAAACAGTAATTAGTCCTTGTATTAATGGAAGCCCAAATGTAACATACTTAAGTATTTTTTCATTTACATACCAATTGGCAGGCATTCCATATTGACATTTAATTTTAAAGGTATGTATCTTTTTTTTTTACTTTTTTTGAGAATGGGGGTTATGGTATGTTGCCCAGGCTGGTCTCAATCTCATAGGCTCCAGTGATCAGCCTATTATAGCCTTAACCTCTCAAATAGCTGAGACTGTAGTCCTAAACTTCACATCATGCCTGACTCCCTGAGTATTTTTGCATTAAAGGTAATTTTATTAAGATTCAACATTTTTTAGTTTTATGGAAGATTATGGGTGAATTTTCCTTAAATTAATTTTAAAGACGTTCTTTTATGCTCCAGAGATGTATAAATCTTAGACATAGGTGTTTATGAAATGATAAATTTGAAAGCAGATCTTCATGAAAGATGTTGTTGTTGTTAAATCATAAACTAGAAAAATTAACAGGATTTCCATGTTACTGATAAGGGAAAAATTATCATGCATTGGATTATAATTTAGTTGTCTTTTGGTAGATGAAGAAATTGTGAGTTAATTTGTAAAATTTAATTTTTTTTTTGTATTTTGAAAAGAAAGCTTATAGTTGTTATATTGTTACCCTTGTCTTGCCACGTACGCACTGAGGAATAGAGGACATTTGGTGAAACAAAATTGGCTTTAAAAAAAAAAAGGTGTTTTTGACCATAAGATAATGGATCTGATAAACTTGACACAAGGCAAAAATCTTAGTACAGCCTGAATGAATTCTCATTCAATATCTATATGTAAAGTTAGTTGTATATAGTTTATCTTAGTTTAAAGGGATACCATAACTCGTCTCTGCAAAGGTGATATTTTTAAAGCATAGAAGTACAGAAAATTGCTTTCAAAAGTTTGCAAGTTTCATTTTATATTGTTTTTAGGTTTTTCAAATAACAAATTTGAAGAAGGTGATAGCTCTGGTTTCTGGAAAGGTAAGTTCATTGTTTTTGTAGTAACTTCAAAAAGTGTTAACATTAAGAGCACATGCTAAAGAGAAATTAAGTATTTTAATCTGGACCAGATGTAATTTGTTTAAAGACAGTTTTTATTTATGAAGCAGCTATATCTGTGGATCTTGCCAAAGAATTATTGGTTTGTAGATAAAGAATTCAGGCCTCCTAATTTGGCCTAGTGCCGCCTGCCTCAGTAAATCTGAGAGTTCAACTTTTGAATGCTGTGCTACCTTTAGAAAAAAAATGGGATAGTAGAAAGAGCAAATTCAGAATTACAATTACTCTCCATATATAAATACAGTTTGGGACCATTTACACTTAAGTCTGTGAGATTCGTGAATCACTGCTGAAGTTAAAAAAACATTTTTGTCAAAGGTACTGACATTCTGGTTTGGGAGAATAGAATAATGTTATCAGAATATAGACATAATTAACATTGCTTTCCTAAAAATGATTGTGAATATTTGGGTGAGGCTTTGGAACTTGTGTTTAAAAGCATCCCTCATGATTATGATATATCCTTTATTTGATAACCACTGTGTAGAATCTTTATAGCATAAAATACTTTGGAGTAATTTGCTACTTGCTAATTGAATGATGGTAGAATAAATTGCTTAATCTTTCTAAAGTCATAGTATTATATTCTGTAGAATGAAGACCACCACCCATTTTATAGGTTGTTAGGCAGATTAAGTAAGAATTCATGTGAAAGAAAAGACAAAACTCAGTATCAGATACATTTGTGGTTGTCTTGTTTTTCTTCATTAAATGTTTGAGGCTTAGGCTAGAAATATAGTTCAGTGGTAGAGTGCTTGTCTAACAGAAATAAAGCCTTGGATTTGGTCCCTAGTACCAAAGTGGGGAGAATAAAGTTTGAGGCTTGATTTTACTAAACTCAAAGACTAGACCTGATTACTTAAAAACTCTTTTGAAATGAGGTTGTATTTAAATATCTCAAACTATTCCCAGTCTCGTTCTCTTTGCTTTTTTCCTTTCCTGTTTAAATGAAAACATACGTAACAGAACTAGTATTTATTATAGAAAAAAAACCCCATGTTTTTCTTTACTGTTTCTACTGTTTCTATTCTAACCTCCCAACTTTTAATCCACTGAATGTTTATGATTATTTCCACTTATCCCAAGATCATTCAGTTATCCCAGTTCACTCCTTCCTAGAGATGGTAGGCCAAAGAACATACGAGCACATATTCCAGTTTCTCCCAGACTTTTCTCTATAGTGGTTCACTTTCTTCTGTTTTCATTCTTAGTTACCCTAAAAGAAAAAATAATATAAATAGTTCATATTCTTTTGTTTCTAAAAGTTTTGACAAACTCAGGAGGAGATCATGGTAGAAGTTTTTACTTGTATATACATAATGTTTTTTGGCTGTTTTTTTCCCCTGTTGTCTAGTTTTCCTAGGCTGGTATAATGTAGTGATAAGGAGTTCAGGTTTTAGAGTTGGAAACCCTAGATATGAGACCCAGATCCATCTCCTGACAGTTGTATTACCTTGGATAAAGCATTGAACCTTTTTTAAAATTTCATTTTCTTTAGAATTATACTTCATAAGGTTTTTGTGAGAATTTAAAACACTGATACAGTGCTAGGATTTAGCTCAGTGGTAGAGTGCTTGCTTAGCATATGTGAGATCCTGGGCTTGATCCTCAGCTCTGGGAAAAAGAAAATTAGTACAAAACAACAGATGTAGTGGCAGGAGGGTTGTTTGAGCCCAGGAGTTCAAGGCTAGCCTAGATACCATAGCCAAGACCCTGCCTAAAAAATTAAATGTTAAAATTAAAACTTAATACAAATAGGTGCATTTAGAACAATGCTATATACATACTAAGTTCTATTGGGTTATTGTTTTTATATTATATGATAGATTATAACTAATTTTACATTCATTATCTCATTTTCTTTGCTTTATCTTCTAGCTCTATAGAGATTTTTTTCTTTTCATATAATAACTTTATTTTGAAATAGTTTGATTCACAAGAAGTTGCCAAAATAGTACAGAGAGTTTTCATATATCCTTTATCCAACTTCTCTGAAGGTCATTATTCTGTTTCACTTCCCAGGGTAGTCAAAATAAATATAGCTTTGTTTTAGGGATATAATTGGTCAAAGAATGTATGTAAGACTCCTTTATTCTTGCCAGATTCCAAATTAATCAGTATCATTTTTTCTTTAAGGCAACAAATGTTATTTATCATCATTATTTTAGGGCCAACCTTCTAAAATTCTTCATTTTCTGCTTATCTCCCTTACATTAAATCTTTTCCAAGAAGTTGTCTTGTTAGATGACTCCTTAGGAACACTTGTCAGTTGTCTGCCACAGCTCAAATAGCCTGTAACTAGACCTCTCAGTTATTATTTTTGGTAAAATTAAAACATTAAATAGATAGTGCTTTTACACAGGAATTTTGCTGATAGCCTACAAACTATTTGGTTACTTTATATCATCGCTATTAAAGTTTTCAGTTATTAAACATTAATTACATGTACAAAGATCTCTTTTTCTTTCTTTTTTTGGGGGGTATCAGGGATTAAACCCAATGGTGCTTAACCACTGAGCCACATCCCCAGCCCTTTTTGTATTTAGAGACAGGGTCTCAATGAGTTACTTTGGACCTCACCAGCTTGCTCAACTCAGGATCCTCCTGCTTTAGCCTCCCGAGCTGCTGGGATTATAGGTTCCTGGCTACAAAGATCTCTTGAAACCATAGCTAGTTCTCAAAGTGACTTTGTTGGAATCTTCAGGAAAGCTTAGAACTTTTAAATTTTGAAAAATCACTCATATCTTATTGTCACTCTACTTTTTTTGGAATAAACTCTAGGAGTGGGGCCTGTGCATTTATGTCTGACTAATTCTCCAGGTAACTCCTAGGGAGCCTCATTCCATTGTTAAAAATGCGTCCCCCGCTTTTTAAAAAATTTTCTTCTTTTTTTTTAGTTGTTGATAGATATTTATTTTATTTATTTTTATGTGGTGCTGAGGATCCAACCCAGTGCCTCACACATGCTAGGCAAGTGTTCTACCACCAAGCCACAACCCCAGACCCTAAAAATCCTGTTTTATTTGTTACTTGATAATATTGTTATAAATAGAAAAGCCAGGATGTCCTTAAATTATTTCATTAGGATGAATGAGAAGTGGGCATGTATATATAATAAAGCATGAGTTTCTCAGTTATTAAAAATGGTAAATGAGAGAAAAATAAGATCATAAATAAAACAGTCATGTGTTTCTAGTGGTCTGTGGTTCACATTTGAGAGTCACTTGATAACTGTTTAGATAACTGTTATGAAATTTTTATTTTGGGGCTTGTTTTTACTAGGATAATACTTGGAAAATAGTGAGTTTTCAATTATATACTTAATGAATAATATTTAGAAACATTAGGCATTTTCCATTATTAAAATGTTTCAAGAATTAAAATGTAACTTTCCATTGTTAAAATTATTTCAAGAGGGGCCGGAGTTATAGCTCAATGGTAGAGCACTTGCCTAGCATGCATGAGGCATTGGGTTTGATCCCTGGCACCACATAAAAATAAAAACAAATAAAATAAAGGTATTGTGTCCATCTACAAGTAAAAAAAGAATATTAGAGAAATTATTTCAAGAATTAAAATGTTTTATGAAAATGTTTTGTTTTCATACTAATTTATCTGTGACAGTGTTATTTAGATATTATGTTTCTAAAGGAAATTATTTGGATGCTATTCACATGTTTAATTTTTATTCAAGAGTCTACTAATGACTGTGAAGATAATCAAACACGGAGCAGAGGGTTTTCCAAGAGAGGCGGTAAGGATAGTGTTTTGGAACAATTTATACTTGAGACAGGGATACTAAACTGATAAAACTGATTTTTAGAGAAGTTGAAAAAGAAAAATTCTGGTGGTAAAACCCTTTAAGAAAAATACCTTGGTGCATATGTTTTGAGCATTTAATAATACTTACGAGAATATTCAGTAGGTGCCCCTTTTTCCACTTTCTAACATCACTGAATATTTTTTCCCTGAGATTTCAAGAATGTGTTATAAATTACAGAACAGGGATGTTGTGAAATTTCTATCATGGTTAAGATGGAATAGGGGATGTGTTTGTCTTTGAATAGAGTCGCTGGATATTTGGAGGAGAAAAGAAATTTTAGATTAGTTTTTGTTCAAGTATAGCAATATTCTACCTTACTCTACTAATTCTACTTTTAATGAATTTGAGATGAAATCGTATAACAATGATCATACTTAATTTTCAATTATATATGGAGATATGTTGACAAAAGAACAACAAAACCCATAAAACCTATAGTGAAGTTACTGTAAAATTGCTACAGATGTGTTGATCTATGATTAAAGGGCCTTCTGTTTGGGACAACATAGTAGTTAGATGCATCAGTGTTTTGCTGCAACTTGGGAACATTGTTTTTCCCATTACATGGTTAGCTGGCTGAATAGTAGACTTTCCCTAGTGAAGTTAGCACTGGATTTCAGAATGAGGGAAGGCTGTTTTCTGAATTGAATCTTAGCCCTTTTTAAAATTTTTCATTCTGAGATAGGACTTGCTGAGTTGCTTAGGGTGGAACAGAAGTTTAAGGAAAAAACAGACCCATCTTTTTGAAATTCTTTTTTTTGAAAGCAATTCTTGACATTAATGAAAAATACTGCCTAGATTTTAAAATTTCTGATTGTTTACAGAGAACAGTGAATAGCTTACATTTATTTTAACTAAATTAGTATGATTCATATTTAAGTGAGGCAGTCAAAAATCATTTTTAAATGTGTGTGCTTGATTATGACTTAAAGACCAGTGTAGAGTGATTAGCAGGGACATAGTCATTTTACAGGGTATTTCTGATTCCCATTCACTGTAGACATATATGAGAGGGTATTAAGTTAGCATATAGTGATCCCTTAGTAAATGCATATTTATTGTGAAGCATGGCATGACACAGGTACACATATTAAAAGCACATAATGCAGTAATTTTTTGGTAAATCAATCACACCTAATGTTCACCAGCATCTAGGTCAGGGAATGGAAATTACTAGCACACAGAAGTCCCATTTCATACTTATTTTCACTTACAACACCTCACCTGAAGGTTTACCTTTATTATTTAAAAAAATTTTAAATTTATTCTTTTTATTTAGTTGTCAATGAACCTTTACTTTATTTATTTATATGTGGTGCTGAGAATCAAACCCAGAGCCTCTCACATGCTAGGCAAGCACTCTACCTCTGAGCCACAACCCCAGCCCGGTTTACATCTTTTTCTTAGCAGTGTAGATTAATTTTGTCTGTTTTTATACTCAGTATAAAGGGAATCATACAGTATATACTGTTAAGTGTCTGGCTTTCACTTAAGATCCATTGATCTTGTGAGATCCACTGATATTATTGCTTACAATTTTAGATCATTATCATTGCTGTATAGTATTGTTTGTTTCAACTATTCTAATTATGAATATTTGGATTACTTCTAGTTTTGTGCTATTACAAAAGTATTTCTAGTATTTTGATGACTTTTGGTATATACTCAGAAGTAGAATTGGTAGGTACCAGGCTTTGTATTTTTTAGCTTTGATAACAATTAAAAAATGTTTTCAGTGTTTATACTAAGATATTGCCACATCCTTAGCAATGCACTTGACATTTTTTTTCGTCTTAACAATTCTGCTGTGTATCCTATTATGATTTTAATTTGCAATTTTTGGTATACTAATGAAATGTTGAGCACTGCCATTTGGACAGAACCTTGTGAAGTGTGTTAAGTCTCATGCCCATTTTTCTATTGGACATCTTTATTTTTACCTTTTTATTTGTAAATGATAAAAGTTACAGAAGAGTTTCAAGAATAGTATAGATAATTCCTGTATGGCATTTATGTTGGAGGTCTTTTGGTTGAATAGAAGTTATTCATTTCATTTTAATCAAGCACAATTTACTATCTTTGTTTAGTGCCTTTTTTTTTTTTTTGATACCCAGAGGAGCTTAATCACTGAGCCACATCCCTAGCCCTTTTTAAAATTTTTCATTTTGAGATAGGACTTGCTAAGTTGCTTAGGGCATCGCTTAGTTGCTGAGCCTGGTTTTGAACTTGAAATCCTCTTGACTCAGCCTCCCCTAGTCACTGGAAATTTATTTTTATATAAAAATTGAGGTATGCTTTTTCCATATGGGTGGATATCCATTTATCTTAATGTCACTTATTGAAAAGACTCTTTCTTCCAGTGTATACTAGAGGCTGCTTTTGTCCTTAACTAGTAACAGAAGTATATGTATCTGTTTTTAAACTTGGCTCTATTCAAGTGATCACTTCCTCTATTTTTGCTCCATTGTTACATAATGTAATTACAGTAGTTTCATAATGGGTCCTGATATCTGGTAGTGTAAATCTTACAAGTTTACTGCTTTTTATGATTGCTTGGGTTATTCTTAGTCCTTTGCAATTTTCATTTGATATAATCAACTTATTCATTTTTAGAAAAAAAACTTGGTTTGGACTACTGTAATAAAATATTTCAATTAGGGCAATTTATAAGTGACATAAATTTATTTCTCACAGTTTGGTAGGCTGAGAAGTCCAAGATCTAGGCACCAGCAGATTTGATGCCTGGTGAGGACTCATTTCCTGTGTTCATAGATTGTGCATTCTCATTCTCTCTGTCTTTGCATGATGAAAGGGACACAACGGCTCTTTGGGGATTTTTTTTTTTTTTTTTTTTTTTAAGAACATTAATCCTGTTCATAAGGGCTGAGCCCTCAAGACCTAATCACTTCTCTAAAGACCCCTACTTTCTGTCTCATCAACTTGGGAATTAGGATTTGAATGTGAATTTTGGAGGGAGGCAGCCATTCAAACCTTAGTAAAAACTTAATGGCATTTTTTTGGGGGGGGGGTTGCATTGAATATGTAGATTAATTTGAGGAGAATTAGTTTTTTTTGCTATTGTCTTTCAGTCTGAATTTACCCATTTATTTAGGTCTTTAATGTTTTCTAACCATATTTTGTAGTTTTCACTGCTGAGTCCTCATATATGTTCCTATACTTGAGTTTTTGATGTTTTGTGATGCATATAATTTTTATTGAGCTAACACTTCATATAACATTAAGCATTTTTAATTAAAAAATTTATATATATATTTTTAGTTATAGCTGGACACAATATATTTATTTATTTTTATGTAGTGCTGAAGATCAAACCCAGTGCCTCTCACATGCTGGGTAAGCACTCTACTGCTGAGCCACAACCCTAGCTCCTAACATTCACCATTTTAAAGTGTACACCTTAATGGTTTTAAATACATTCATTCTGTTGTGAAACTATTTTCACTATTTCCAGAACATTTTTTTCTCCCCCAAAAGAAATCTTATACAGGTTAGCACTTAATCCCATTTGCCCCTCTCCCCATATCTTCTAGTCTACTTCCTGTGGATTTGCTGATTCTAGATATTTCATGTAGATGAAATAATTCAGTATGTGGTCTTGTGTGTCTGGCACACAAGTTTGCTTGGCATAATATTTTCAAGATTTATCCATGGTGAAGTAGATGATAATACTTATTCTTTTTAATGGCTGAATAATATTCCTGTATCGATATATCACATTTTGTTTATTCTTCAGTGAAGATATTTGGGTTGCTTCCATGACTAATATTGCTATAAACATTTATGTACAAGTTTTTATATGAACACATGGTAACTTTTGTGTTTAACTTTTTAATGAAAAAAATCAATTGTTCCAGCAATTCAAATTGTTTTCCATAGCAGTTGCATCATTTTACATTCCCACTCTCAATGTATCAGGGTTCCAGTTTTTCCACACCCTTACCAATACTAATTGTGGTGGTTATGATTTGCTTTTTATGGTGACTGTAATGTGGAGCAGTTTTCCAGTGTGTTTATTGGACATTTGTGAATCTTTGGAGAAATGCCTGTTCAGATAATTTTAACAATTGGGTAATTTTATTTTTTTTGGTGTTCTGAGATTATGTACATATTCTCAATATGAATGTCATCGGATACATGGTTTGCAGATATTTTCTCTTCTTTTGGGTTGTCTTCATCATCTTGTTGTATTTTCTGAAGCCCAGAAGTTGACATTCTTTGCAGTATAATTTATCTTTTTTTTTTCCCCTTTTGTTGCTTGTGCTTTGAGGCGTCATCTAGAAACTGTTGCCTAATCTGAGGTGTCAGATTTTTGCCTATGTTTCTTTCCAAAATTTTGTAGTTGTAACTCTTATCTTTGATCCATTTTGAGTTCATTTTCATTTATAGTGTGAAGTTGGATGTGATTATTTTGCCTGTGGATATCCAGTTTTCTCAGCATCATTTGTTGCTCTTATATAGATGTGTCTAGGTGCCAATCTGTTTTGGTTTATCTTCCTTTGAGTTGAGCTTCTTGGGTATGTAAATTGATATAATTAGATTTGGAAAAATTTTAGTTGTTGTTTTTGTGAAACCATAATAGAATCTTGCCATTTAACTAAAGTGTACAGTTTGTAACATTAAGTACATTCCAGTGTGTGCAACCATTACCATTTTCATCACCCAAAGAGAAACACTGTATCCGGGAGGCAGTTAACTCCCCATACCCAATCTCTGGTAGCCTCTATTCTACATTCTTATAAAATTTGCTTGTTCTAGGTATTTCTTACAAATGGAATTATACATTATCTGTCCTGTTGTGTATAACGTATTTCATTTAGTTCCATATTTTCAATGTTTATTCAGGTTGTTGCATGTATCAGAGTTACATTCCTTTTTATGGTGAAATAATATTCCATTTTACATCTTTACTATATTTTGTTTATCCATTCATCTGTTGATGGACACTTGCATTGTTTTCTGTTTTCGGTCATTGAGAAAATAATATCGAACATTCATCTATTTGAATCTCTGTTTTTAAGTCTTTTGGTTATGTAACTTAGAGGTGGAGTTGCCAAGAAATGGGACAAAAAGTTAAAATGCTACAAAATTTCCTTTTTTTTTTCCTAAATGTTCCCTGAATTGTTGCAAACCTTTGATTCATTATTAGAGTTGGAAAAAATTCCGAAGTTTGTTCATTTTTTCTTGCCTTTTTGGAGTAGTCAAAATCTGGAGTTGCTTTGTTCATTGATGTTAGTAGTGATGCATATTACACCACATTTTTCTATTTTATTTGTTTGATAGTGTCTAAAAACAATTGAATTTTATATATCACAGGTTTATATATTGACCTCATTAAATAAATTTATGGTAAGTACTTTTCTTAAATATGTTCATATTTCTTTTAACCAGACATTTTTTTTCTGAAGATTGTTACCAAACATCTTCTGGAATTATAAGAGATTGTCAGTGGTCCCTTATAAAATGCAGAATACGGGCTGGGGTTGTGGCTCAGTGGTAGACTACTTGCCTAGCGTGTGTGAAGCACTGGGTTTGATTCTCAGTACCACATACAAATAAATAAAATAAAGGTCCATCAACAACTTAAGAGTATACCTCCAGAAGGACTCCTGTTACTTTAAAAAAATGTTAATGTCTAATGGGGGTGTAACAGTGATAGAATATCTACCTGGCATGTAGGAGGCTCTGGGTTTGATCTGCATCACTGCTCCTCCAACAATTGGTGTTATTTTATGAAAATGGCATTAAAAGTGGTTAATTTCAAAATATTTCAATGATGCAGAATGGTAAAGAATATTTTATTACAAACATTTTGTATGTTACTACCTAGATTTAAAAAATATTATGTCATATTTTTTTCAAAGCCATTAAAAATTAGAATTGTTAGCCTAAAGGATGGTTTAACTTTACATTTTATGTTGATATCTTCCCAGATATAATGTATTTTGATATATATTATATATACTTCCTATCTGTATTTTTATATAAGATTAAAAATATGCCTATGTTTTATGACATCTTTATTCATAATTTTTCAGATTTTTGTGTTGAAAGTGTGTCTGTAGTTCATTTATTTTTTGGGGTACAAGGGATTGAACTCAGGGGCACTTGGCCACTGAGACACATCTACAGCCCTATTTTATATTTTATTTAGAGGCAGGGTCTCACTGAGTTGCTTAGCATCTCACCTTTGCTGAGGCTAGCTTTGAATTTGTGATCTGCCTGCCTCAGCCTCCCAAGCTGATGGGAGGCGTGGGCCATCTCACCTTGCCTAGTTCATTTATTTTTAATTTTGTATCTTATTCTTCCTTTCATCCTATTTATTTCAACAAGGATAATTTTTAAGATTATGTAGAATACAGGGATTTTCTGCCTTCCCTGAAAACAAGGCTTCGCAGAATTGATTCTATGTAATACTCATGTTGTTTTCATCTCTAGTTATTAGTCTTATTATATAACTCAGAATAGGCTTCAACTCTGAAGGGAAAGAGCATATTTCTTTAAATGTGTGAGTTTTTTCTCTATGGGGGTATTAAGATATATATATATGAAAGATGCTGAGGCATTATACAGGCTAAGACAGGGAAGGTAGATTTAAAAGGACTCATTTTGTATTTACAAAAAAAGAGTAGTGATTAAAATAAAAAAACAGTGGATGGGTTAGACAGATTAAACAGATGAATATTCAAATCAAAAGAGTTGAGGAAATTTCTAACTTGTAAATGTAAAATGTGAAAGTACTTAACAAATATGGAAGATAAAATATAAATTGTTCAACCTAAGTGATTTTCATTTTATTATATTTTCAAATTTTATATGTATATTTTATACTCTTACAAAGTAACTTATACCTTAAAAAACAGAATCCAGAATATAAACTTGTTTTTTTTTTTAATTCAGATATACCCTGACAAGCTTTCTTAAAAGATAATGGGAGCTGAGGTTGTGGCTCACTGGTAGAGTCTTGCCTGGCATGCGTGAGGCACTGGGTTGAATCCCTAGCACTGCATAAAAATAAACAAATAAATAAATGTATTATGTCTATCTACAACTAAAATAATAATAATAATAATAATAATGGCACAGGGCTGGGGTTGTGGCCCAGTGGTAGAGCACTTACCTCACGCATGTGAGGCATTGAGTTTGATCCTTGGCACCGCATAAAATAAATAAATAAATAAAAATAAAGGCATTGTGTCTATCTACAACTTAAAAAAAATGAAAAACTATAATAGCACAAATAAGTAATTTAGAATATAAAATCAACTTGATATATACTGTTGACAGATTGAGGAGTGTAAGGTTTGGGTGATGCAGAACTGTGAATCTACTTTTAATTATTTCTGTCATTTTAAAATAGGCTATTAAAACATGCACAATCTGCTGTCAATAAGTAGCATGTATAGGACTTACACTTTTATTGAGCATCCTCTTTAGGTGTGAATAGTTGCAAATGCATAAACTAAACATTTTCAATTTCTTTATTTCCTGTCTAGTTGACACTTTGGTTTAGAATTGATCTGGTTTTGCCTTAGGTAGAATCAAATTTTACTTGAACTGTTCACTAGTTCTGTTGGTTTTTAGTTGAATTAAAAATGAATTGCTTAACAGGAATTGAGATTTTATATGTGTCTACTTGTCTGTACTTTGATTAAGGTATTTGTCTATTGGGAGTAAATATAAGCCTATGATTAATTAATCCTTTTGTAGGTTGTAGAAGTTCAGTTAATGGTTCATTTGTGGCAACTTTCAGTGTTTTAAGTAACAAGTTTTTCTTTTACTCATATTTAGTTTTGTTCCTCAAAGCCAGCAGTGGGTTTTTCTCTTCATAGCCATATCTATTTATATTAGTAAAGTCTTTACATTTATGATCAATTCTGGCTTTTCTTTTTTTCTTTTTCTTCCATTAATGTCTTAAAGAGTATTTACTTAATGCTATTGAATTATGCAAAACAAATCTGGTTATCATGTCCACAAGATTTCTTTGTTATTATTGTTTTGTGTTGTTCTTGTGTGTGTGTGTGTTTTAATATTATAGGCTATCAAGATGGAAATGATTCGGAAGCTTCAGGGCCATCCAGAAGAGGTGGAAGAGGTAGTTTCCGAGGTTGCCGTGGAGGATTTGGTTTAGGAAGACCAAGTTAGTAGTGGATTGCAAATGGTGTGATTCATTTGTTAAGAAGGAAATGATTTTTAAAAAATCACATAAAGTTGTTATAAGGATTAAATGAAAATATTTTAGCACAGTGGCTTATGTAAATTAATCACCCATATCATATAACATCATTTTTAGATATAATTACATATTGGTTAAATTGGAATATATGAATTTTTTCAGAAGTTTTATGTGACTTAGTTTTTTAGTATTGCATTTTGTTAAGTTTTTTAGGGCCTTGGTAATATGGCTTACCTTTTCAGTAGATGGCCTTCTGTATGGCTCTACATTTCAACATATGTGGCTTCAACCAATGTGACTTTCTACCTTAAAATTTTTCCAGCCATAATTTTTTAGAGCTAAGGTGCTGTCTTCATAAATGACTGTTGGAATACATGTGTCTCCTAATAGAAGATTATAGATTAGTGGTTTTGTAAGCTAAAAACATCAAATATTTGCAATTATGATTTAATAAATGTGAAACAGATTAGTAAATTGTCCTGCTTTTTAAAAAAAACAAAAAACAAGCAAAAGGTCTGTATAGGGCTGGTTAATATTAGATTTGGCAACGGTGGGAGTAGGGATGCTGTGCTGGAGAATAAGCAGTGAAATGATGCAGTGTGAAGTTTCTGAGGGCACTAACAGTGCTACTTTTGGCAGGAGATTTATCTTTTGCTTATATTTTGAGATAGCATTGGCCCTAACTTATTTTATAAAAAAGTTTAAAATAAAATGTTTTCAAAACAGTAATTTGTAATTGAAGGATATAATTTATAGAGAAATCCTTTCTGTAATACTTTGAAAAATACTCATTTTGATTCTTGTTAAACTATTTTAGCCCATATATTTTAATTTTTAATACCATAACTTGACCCTTTTTCTTTTTACTAAATGATTAAAAACTTCTTTAAAGTAATATAATTATATTTTCTCCAAATCAAGGTAATGAATATGACCAAGATGAGGGGACACAGAGGGCTGGTAGCCTTTTTGGTTCTAGAAGACCAGCATTAAGTGGTGCAGGTAAGAAATAAAACATATTACTCAATACTAATCATATATGCCCTTAGCACTATTATTAGTAAATATAATATACATATTTATACTAGGTTGGTTCCTGATTTTCTCTGTTTTAGATCTTTAGGCAAAAATACATGAATCATTTTGCCTTCCCTATAAAATATGTGCACTGTAAATTATTTCTTTTACATTGTATTAAAAGATTTATTTCTTGTAATTTGAAATGTGAATTATACCTTGATGTTTGGCTTGGTTTCAAAAAAAAGTTTTTAAGTTAGGGGAAAATAATTTGTGTGATTTGAAGAAAAAAATGAAAAGAATTATTGATGAAAGTGTTCATATGAGAATAATGTTTAAATTCAATCTAGAGAAAAGAGGGTTAATGGATGGGGAACCCTAAGTAGTTACAGTGTATTGAACAGAAATAGCAATATAGTGGATGTGCTTGAGTGGGAGCTGTATTTTCTCTAAATATTCTTCAAAACGATGCCTTATAGGTAATGGTGACACTTACCAAAGCAGAAGTGGCAGTGGAAGTGGTCGAGGTAGGTTCTTATTTGGTTTACCTGACAAAGGTTAAAATTTTTGTAATCTAAATTTAAGTTTTGGTTTAAAGTAACTATTAATACTTCTGTACACTGTGAAGAGTATAAATTTACAAAGCCTGTACTGGAGAGTTCCTCAATATGTATAGGATATTTTCTTTCTGATTTAGCAGTTCCTTATATAGGACTTAAGTACTATAGATATGTTTATAAATACTCATACAAGGACATTCATTGAGTCTTCATTTATACTAAGTAAAAACTGAAAATCACCCAAAATTCATCAATAAATAATTGTTGAAATATAACTATAAGATAGGGTATTGTGCAGATGTTAAATATTCAGATGTATTCATATATATAAATCATTATTAAAATATGCTTTTCTTATGGAATAAATATTTTATTTGGTCTAAGGGGTAGAGTCGGTGTATACAATTTCTTATGCTGAAGATTTTTTTCAGGGTATAGTTATGTAAATGTCATATAAAAATAAAAATGGTTTTCAGATTAATAAATCAGTAAAACTTGTTTAATGTATTGAAAGATTATCAGTAGTCATTATTAGTCTGAGAGCAAAGTGACCCCTCTACCAGCCTCTTGGATTCCTCAATGTAGATAAAGATCTTCCACAAATATACCCATCTTATGTGAAGGAAAGACCTTACACAAGACTGTGGACATAAAGAAAAAGGAAATAGAGAGCTCATATGTTTTTTTTTTTTTTAAAGTCATTAGCTGATTAGCTTTTGAATCTAATGCAGTCATAATACCTAAAAGTGGCACAGTAGATGAGTAGTTAACTAAAAATCAGGAAGGTCACTTACAGAAAAGAAAATTAATAAGCCTGACTGCTCTTTAAAATCCATCAATTCGTGAAACTGTCTTGCTTACAAGGTTGGTTTTTGGCACATGTTGATTAATTAGGGTTATTCAGAGAGACAGAACCAACAAGAGTTGGATGTATGGATGAGAATTTATTAGGGGGATTGGTTCTTGTGATTATTGGAAATAGAGAAGTGGCCACCTCCACGCTGATAATGTGACTCAGTCCAAATCGAAAAGCCTCAGAATTTGGGTGGGGGGCTTCTGATGCAAATCCTGGAACCCAAAGGCTGGAGAACCTAGACTTCTGATAACTAGGGGTAGAAGAAGGGTGGCCATATTTAGCCTTTCCTTTGCTTTTTTGTTCTTTCTGGGCCCTCTGCAAATTGGATGGTGCCTGACCACTTTGGCTGAATGGAGAATCTTTCTCTGTGTCACTTATTTAGATGCCAGTTTATTCTAGAAACACTGTTATAGTCATACCCAGAAACAGCACAAGGTAGCATAGTCTCATCTGTATAAAATCACGATTTTTTAAAAAATATATTTTTTAGTTGTCATTGGAACTTTATTTATATGCAGTATTGAGAATGAACCCAGTGCCTCACACATGCTAGGCAAGCACTCTACCACTGAGGTACAACCCCAGCCCCTAAAATCAGCATCTTGAATACTAAGGAAACATAAAATGTATAATGTGCTTTATTACTGAACCCCAATATTTTATTTCACTTTTTTTGTTGTTGTTATTACTGGGGATTGAACTCAAGGGCACTTGGCCACTGAGCCACATCCCCCAGCCCTATTTTGTATTTTATTTAGAGACAGGGTCTCACTGAGTTGCTTAGCACCTTGCTTTTGATGAGGTGGCTTTTAACTTGTGGTCCTCCTGCCTCAGCCTTCGGAGCTGCTGATATTACAGGCATGTGCTTAATATTTTATTTCTCTTAATTGTCTCTAGTGATATTTGTGAGAAGGGGCTTTATAGATACCTGTTCATTTTCAGAATTTGTCCTTTTTGTGGACAAGCACTGAAAGTAAAGATGCACATAGCTTTCCATCTTGACCAGTTGTCACTATTAATTTCTTTAACAGGTGGTTACAAAGGTTTAAATGAAGAAGTAATAACAGGCTCTGGAAAGAGTAAGTGTTATTTTAGATAAAATATTTGATTTTAGGGCTGGGTGATGTGGCTCAAGCGGTAGCGTGCTCGCCTGGCATGCATGCGGCCCTGTTCGATCCTCAGCACCACATATAAACAAAGATGTTGTGTCCGCCAAGAACTAAAAAATAAATATTAAAAATATTCTATCTCTCTCTTTAAAAAAAGTATTTGATTTTATAGTGAGATTTCTTTTATCTCCAAGTTTTTAAAAGTATTTCTCTTTTTATTTGATCCCTTAAGATTCTTGGAAGTCAGAAGCTGAAGGAGGAGAAAGTGGTGACATTCAAGGTATATTGATATTTGTGTGATCTGTACAAATGTAAAATGTTTAAAAAAGTAAAATTTTAAAAATTCTAACAGTGGAAACTTTAGTGATAAGCAGTATGAAGTTCTACAGTATTTTAAACTTGATTTTTATCTGTTTCCTTTAATTTTTTTCTTTTAGTCTGTATAATATACATTGCATTTTATTTGAATTTCTAGGCCCAAAAGTGACCTACATACCCCCTCCTCCACCAGAAGATGAGGATTCCATCTTTGCACATTATCAGACAGGCATAAACTTTGACAAATATGATACTATTCTTGTAGAAGTGTCTGGACATGATGCACCACCAGCAATTCTGGTAAGTGTATTGTTTCTGTATTATGTAGCAAACTTTGATTTAGAATTATGTGTTATGTTTATTAAATTGATAATACAAAAATTCACTTTTAGTTTTTAATGTCTTTGGAAATTTAGAACCATGTCTATCGTCTTCAGTAGAATTAATTGCTATGTCAAAACAGAGTGACATGGAAATTTTAAAAATTTCCGTATCAGAATGGGAATTTTTAAAAATTTGCTAAAAAGGATACTTTTTCTAGAGATTCAATATTTTTGCATACTAAGTGTGTAGAGAAGTTTATCTTGGAGTGAGTTTTTTTTTTAAAGACAGTTGGGGACACCTGTATGTTCTATTAATTGTAGTAATGAGCCCTTGTTACTGATTAGTTTTTCATATCACACAGGTTTTTAAAGGAGCAGAAAAAGTTTTTAGAACCACTGTTTTTGGGTAAAGCTTCTAATGCTATTCAGTAATAATCAATAGGCTCTGAATGTTTACTTTTGAGTGGGGACGTATTGTTAACTTTAGTATTAAAAGTGGAATTAATAAAAATGGAAAACTGCTTCAAATGGAATATGTTTATGAATGACATATGTATGATATGGATTAATTCATTGCTTCTTTTTTCTTTTTAGACTTTTGAAGAAGCTAATCTTTGTCAGACATTGAATAACAACATTGCTAAAGCTGGTTATACTAAACTAACTCCTGTGCAAAAATATAGTATTCCTATTATACTGGCAGGACGAGATTTGATGGCTTGTGCTCAGACAGGGTCTGGGAAGACTGTAAGTCATTATCCCAAGTGTGTTTTGCCCTTTATCCAAACTTTATTTATTTATTTTTTTGAACTTTGGTTCTTCTGAAATAGCTTGAATCTCTTTTGTTCAATAGAAGTTTTATAGGTAATTTCAGTGAACTATCATAAATATTCATGTTTTCATTTCTGATTTCTGGTTTTATATACGTCTAAAGGAGTTTTGAATTATTTCTAAAGTAGTGTTGAATTTCATGGGTGCTTAATCTATTTCTAAGTGTGTTCAACTCATTCTGGTACTTACCAGTATCTAAAACAAAAGGATTGAAGGTGAAGGCACCAGAGGTATAAAGCATTGTGAGAGACAGAAAATAATTTGTGATATATGATATAATCTTGGAGTCAAAAGAATAAAGAATGAGAAACAACTATATGCATTGTCCACAGTATAAATGACCTCAGATCATTTCTAAAAGAAATAAGATGAGATCAGTTGATTTTAGTATTACTCTGGAAGGTTTATTTGTTAAATTGGGTGTCATGAGATGAGACTATTATTTCCAGGATTATAGAGTCCTGGTTCATACCATTTTAGCCTTAATCAGTCTCCACATCAGAATGGAAGGGAATATAGAAGCATTGTATAACATAGCAACTGATGAGTGACTTAAACATGGCTTTGGAGGTAGATTTTAGTCTTATTTGCTTAAATGAGAAACTATAACACAAAATTTCTCTTATCTAGTGTAACTTTTCAGTAGGGTAATGTATGTAGTGATCCAAATGATAATTTTCAAATTTTTGCTCTGCCTATGGACCTCCTGATAATTTTTTGCTTCTCCCAAAGGAGTAATAACTGATAGAATAACTGTGAAATGCAAGAATTTGGCATCAAATTATACCTACATTTCCCTTTATAAGTAAATTAATGTTGATCTGTGTACATATGGGTATGCTTATTTTCTTAAAAGATTGAAAAATATTTTGATGTGATGATTAATTTTATCAAATATTTTATGTTGTATAATATGAGCCTAGAGACCTAAATGTTAACTGGTTGACATTGTTGTCATTTCTCATCCCTAATTTAACAGCAAGATGGAAGAATAATCTTAATGGCTACAAGGGCATGAGGAATAGCTTTTTGTAGGGACAAAAGTGATGCACTATAAGTTTATAAATTAGGCAATTTAACTCCTAGGCAGCTTTTCTCTTGCCCATTTTGGCTCATATGATGCGTGATGGAATAACTGCCAGTCGTTTTAAAGAACTGCAGGAACCAGAGTGTATTATTGTAGCACCAACTCGAGAATTGATCAACCAGATTTATTTGGAAGCCAGAAAATTTTCTTTTGGGTAAGTATAATCCACAAATGTTATTCAAAAAATAATTTTACTTAGAATTTTTTCTCACTCTTGGAAGGAATTCAGTAATAGCATTCTCATGCAATTTTTAGCATCACTTGATTGAAGTATACTTTTTATAATTTTACTTATGAAATTCTTATTTTTTAAAAGAAACATAACTATTTAAAATTAGTAATAGATGCAGGAAATAAGAAAATAGTGAAAATATTGGTCTATTGTGGTAGCTTTTAATGCATATTTTAAAATAAACTTGGTGGATAATTATTCTTTATAATTCCATAATGTGGAAAACTACTTTTGGATTATTAGACCTATTTTTTAATGATTTTTAAATTTTCATATGTATACATTTTAATTATTTTGAAGCATTTAGTTTCTTTTTAACTTGGGGCTATTGTAAGTAAAATCATGACAAACATCTTGCTATATAAAGTTTTTTATTTTAAGTAAAAAAAATTTTTTTAATGAGATGAAGTCTTGCTATGTTTTCTATGAACTTGCGCCTTAGCCTCCCAAGTAGCTTGGGCTACGGTCGTGTATCACTATATCCAACTAGTTTTTCTGTTTTAAGTATCTCTGTGAAATAGATTTACATCTATTTTAATACAACATAGTGTGAACTTACTTTAAAGCTTGCACTAATGTACACTTCTAAGAAGTATGTGAGAGTCCAATTTCACTATACCCTTTGCCAATATTTATTGTATTATCTATTGCTGCCTAACAAGTTACTTTAAAAAAAATAGTTTTTTTAGGGGCATATTGGAGACTGGACTCAGGCACTTGACCACTGAGCCACATCCCCAGCCCTATTTTGTATTTTATTTAGACATAGGGTTTCAGAGTTGCGTAGCACTTCACCGTTGCTGAGGCTGGTTTGAACTTGTGATCCTCCTGCTTCAGCCTCCCCAGCTACTGGGATTACAGGCATGTGCCACCATGCCGGGCAAAATATAGTTCTTAAAACAATAAACATTTACTGTGTCACAGCTTCTTAGGGGTTAAGAATTGAGCTTTGCTGCTTCTGGTTTGGAATCTCTTTTGAGATTGCAGGCAGGGTGTCAGCCAGGAATCCAGAGACTTGACTGGACCATTTCCATAAGGCTACTTCATTTTCTTTAGGAATGGCAGTTGGCTTCTCCTGGATTGAGAGATTAACAAGAGAACAAGGAGGAGGTTTCATGGAACAGTCTCAGGAGCCTCACACATGTCATTATGTTGTCGTCTATTATAAGGAACATGACATCAAGTCTCAGGACTGGTTATATAATTTACCAGAACCAATACAAATAAAAGGGCATGGCATTTTGTTGTCTAGTTGTTACACATTTCAAAATAATAACAGCAGAACATTAAACCAAGCACAGAGCTCTCTTGAATTTGGGAACCAAGCACAGGGCTCTTTTGAGTTTGGGATCTTTTATGACTACATTGGTTGCACACCCATGATGCCAACCTTACTCATACTTAAGGGGTCAGGAAGGTATTTTGAAGAATTTGTGTATGTATTAAAACTATTATATGTATCTTCATTTTTTTCCATTTATTTGATTATTCTGATGGAAATTTTTTTAAATGTTTAATAATTTTTTCTTTGTGAATTATCCATTATGTACAGGTTATCTATTGGAAAGAACATTTTTCTTTAGTGTTTTTTTTTAGAGCTTTCTATATAGAAATCATTAGTCTTTTATTTTGTATAAGTTTTATTTTAAATGAGAAAAGAAAATAGTGATCATTAAAATCACTTTAATTTAAAACTTGATAATCTTTTGGAAAAAGCTGATGTAGCTGCACACAGTGTGGTGCATGCCTGTAATTCTAATGGCTCGAGAGGCTGAATGAAACAGGAGGATCACAAGTTGAGGGCCAGTCTAGGCAACTGAGGAGGCCCTAAACAACTTAATGAGAGCCTGTCTCAAATAAAAACCCAAAGAACTGGAGATGTAGCCTAGTGGCACCCCTGGGTTAAATCTCTAGTACAGGAGGGAAGTGGGGGGAGGTTCTCTCCATAAATAGTAGCATATTAAACTGTTGCCATCTGAGTTGTTTCTTTAACACAATGTATATTTGAGATAATTCTTAATCTAAAACTATAGCCCTTTTAAAGAATGCACTATTTCTTTGTCTTTATAGACACTTAATTTTCAGTCTTTTGATACTACAAATAATGGTGGCAGTGAATATTATTGTACATTCATCTCTACCTATTTGTGGGAACATATCTGTACAGTTAATTTCTAGATTTGGATTTAGTGGGCCAAAGGACAAATTTTCAAACTTTAATAGAGACTAAAATTGTAAGAAGTTGTGTTAATTTACCATCAGTGCGGGTACCTAGGCTAACATGGTATTACCATACCTAAGGGAAAATGTTGTGTTAGTAGTCATTCATTTTCCTTTTCAAAATAATGTTGGAACTGTTAGAAAATGTTTCAAACTTATCTGTAGTTTTATGAATCATTTGTTAATGTCTTTGGATTGTTGAGGTTTTTTTTTTTTGTGAGAGTATGTTTAGGGAACAGAGTAATAGTGTTTTTTATTATTTTAATGAGCCCTTTGTCAGATAAATTGAAAATTTTTTTTCTGTTTGTCATTTATTTTCAACTTCTTCCTGGGCAGAATTTAAAAATTTTAAGGTCATTGTGTATATTCTTTTATCATTCATGGAAATTGATTAACATGTTATTAGAAACAAGCATCTAATTTTCAAATAACTAGAAAATGACATTTGGTTTTCTTGTCTCTAGCACTTGTGTAAGAGCTGTTGTTATATATGGTGGAACCCAGTTGGGGCATTCAATTCGACAAATTGTACAAGGCTGTAATATACTATGTGCTACTCCTGGAAGACTGATGGATATCATAGGTAAAGAAAAGGTAGGCGAGGTCTGGGGTTGTGGCTCAGTGGTAGAGCACTTGTTGTAGTGTAAGCACTGGGTTCAATTCTTAGCGTGGGCACACGCACACACACACACACACACATAAATAAATAAAATATAGGTCAATTAATAACTAAAAAAGAAAAGGTAGGTCTTAGAAGGATAACAAAGTTGTGAAACTTCTAGCATTTTTTAGGGAAAAGGAAAGTAAATGGAAGATATATTTACTATAGCACTGTTTATATGTTAAGCTCCACTAGATTCTTTGAATGTAATCTCATATAGTTCTCAAAATAATCTTAACAGGGTATTTTTCAATTTATGCTTGGGTAAACAAACTCAGTAAAATTAGATAATTTATTTTAGATTCCTCAGCTGTAATAAGTGATAGGGTTAGAATATGGGTCTGATTCCAGAATCCATATCTTATGAACCTTAGTGGGAGAAAAATGTAAGAAACAGTTTTATCTAGTTTAATATATAGTTTAATGAGATAGTTTTTCTCTTGGGAAAAAACCCTTTGTGGCCTCAATCATTTTGTTTCCTGTTGAAGGATGTGTGCATATTAACCAGGATTATTTCTAAAATTTAAGAAGTTTTAGGGCTATATACTCACTTAGAAATTCATATACCAAATTATTGCCTCTCAATCAACACTTTAAATTCACTTTAATGAACCTTAATTTTTTTTAAGTTCTACTCAAAAGGGGTTACTTAAAACTTATCTTTCTGCATAAAAGCATCTTTCGTTGGATACATAAAGGTATCCAGAGAAAATCCACTTTAGATCCTCATTGTCTTCATAGTAGTACTTGTATTTTTCCAGATATATTCTATTTATACCAATAAATGTTGTTCTTGTTATGCAAAGATAAGAGAAGTTTCCAACTTGTTTCTGAGTGATTAGAGAAGGGAGAATTTATTAAGAATTTTAAAGAGATTAGAAAAAGATTGGCAGTTAGAAGATATTTATATATGTTAGACTTTTATTACATTAAGGAGTCTTTATTGGATAACTCCGTCTACATCTGTGCTGTCCAGTACAAGTAATCATTAAGCCACATTTGACTATTTGCATTTTTAAATGATTAAAATTCAGTCTTGCAGTCACAATAGTCATGTTTCAATTGCTTAATAGCTATATATAGCTAGTGGCTAACATGTTAATACAGATAATAGAACTTTCAAGTAATTGTAGAAAGTCCTCTTATTGATAGAGATGTTTTGGTTTAATATAAACTACTATGAATTTTCTGTTCTTACCCTTGAAAATATCCTTAAAGATTGGCCTCAAACAAGTCAAGTATTTAGTTTTGGATGAAGCTGATCGCATGTTGGATATGGGTTTTGGACCAGAAATGAAGAAGTTAATTTCTTGCCCAGGAATGCCATCAAAAGAACAACGTCAAACCCTTTTATTTAGTGCAACTTTTCCAGAAGAAATTCAAAGGTAAGTTTTTTTTTTTTCTGAGTCTTCCATTATTTTACAGATTCTTTAAAGAATTTGTATATACACAGATATCCTATGGAAATAGAAGCAATGTGAATACCATTTTTAGAGATTTTTCTTTAAGATTTTGCACAGGTAGTTTAAAAAGTAAATGTATTCCTAGAAAGTTTCCTACATTTTTTTCATTGTTACTTACCTTTATTCCTGATTCTGCTTTAGAATCATATTCTATTGAATGTATGGGGTGTGTGTGTGTGAGAGTGTGTGTGTGTGATGTTGCTGCTGCTACTGCATAGCACCTAGATAGGATTTAATGAGTTCTTAGTAAATGAAGTTATTCTTATTGTACTTTATTTTCAAATCTAAATGGAATTGGGCCTTTGGACATTTCAGACATGAGTTATTGATAGTGTTTGAGAATTATGCTATATACCATGTGGTCTGATGACTTCAGAGATTAGGGTGACACATTCCTGCTAGGATGGCAACTCTTCTTACCAGCAATGAGTTCATCCCTTGCTTGGCACAGGGAACCTGAAGTATCCATGCAAAAGCAGGAGGACCCTTGCTGTTTTCTCTAGGAACTATTCTCTTTGGGAACCAAGAGCTGTATTCCTGCAGAACCTTGATTAGAAAGAAGGATGGGAAAAAAAAGAAAGGATGGAAAGCACAGATTTCTTGCGTGGATCATTGTGGGAATGATGATAGATCTTGCTTGCATAACTTGGTTTCTAGACTCAAGCCACATGAAGATCTTTGGTTCAGAGGTTACTGTGTCCTGTTAGATGAGGCCCTCTTTTTTTAAAAAAAATTCTTTCAAGATCACCAGTGAGCTGTCCTTTTAGATAATTTCAATGTTTTCTCAGCCTGGCAGCTTCTAGGTGGTGCAGTATATAATATGACCTGTGGATCCTAATGTTATAGGCCTGCTTCTTCTTTCCTGTAAAGTTGGCCATCTGATCTGAGAGAAAGTTATGTGGGATCCCATGCTAGTGTAACAAACACTTCACAAGCCTTTGGATAACCATGCTTAACTATTTGTTTTACTTATAACATGCTAAAAAAAAATCTGCATGTAAAATTAGAAAGCTTAAAAAAATCTAAATCATAAAGCTCTGGGTCAGTTGGCAGGATTTTGTTTCTTAGTGGCACATAAATAATTTCTTTATGATGGAATTGTATCTTACATCTGAAATAGGGTATCTGATTCCTACCATCAGCTTATAATATTAAGTAGATTGTTGTCTACTTAATTACCAGGTAATAATCCTGCTGCTGCTTTTTAAATTTCCTGTAAAAATAGGAAAGTATTAGGATATTGGCTATACCCACAATGACTAATGTGTACTACTTGTTGATATTTTATGAGCCATATTTGATTATTATCCCTGATAAACAAAATAAGATTCCTTGACTTTGAGTTTTCTATATTCTTTATTTTCTGAGTCTTCCATTACTTTACTATCTTTTCTTAAATGTTATTGGTTCCCCATTATTCTGCCTAAGATCTTTTTCTCATTTGAATATTCTCTGAACCCTTGTAGTATCCATTCTCTTGGCTTCTACTTCTAACTGTAACTCTCAAGAGCTATTCCCAATATCCATGATCTCTATTCTGAGCTCCAGACTTTAAGATTTAATTCTTTGAAAGTGATTTTTCTCTCACTTGAATTGCTAGTTAACTTGTGTTGATGTTCAAAGTTGAACCTATTTTTTTCTTTAACTCCATCTTTCCAATTTTCTTTATTGGGATTGATGGCATCTTGATCCTTTGAAGCCCTAATCCTTTAAATTGTGGTAATTTCCTTCTCACCTTCTTTTAACTCTGTCCTTCAAAATATTTACTTGATAGTTCTCTAAAATTGTTCAAGTCTATTAGTTTCCTTTTTATTTCCCACCTTAATTTAGGTCTTTCTCAGTTCCACATTCTTGCTTACTGCTTCATTAGGTCAAGCTTCAAAGACTTTTAAATGAGTCTTCTAAATAGTGATTGCTTCTTTCATTTCCTGCCAGTACATCTTGTGAAAAACACTTTGTATACATTTCTTGAAATTAATTAAGTGTTCAGTAAATGTTAACTATTCTAATGTTGAATTATAATGATTTTTAATATATTTATTCTACTTGATGCAAGCACCTCAGAGACAAACATCATTATATTCATCTGTGTGTTCCTAGTATTTTCTACTATGTATACCTGCTGTAGGGCACTCAGTAAATGTTTTAGTAAATGAAAGAATTATGGACAAAGAATTTCAAATGGTTTTTAAGGTTTTGTGCCTGCATGAGAGTGGTGCTTGACTCTTAAAGAAGTTTTGATTTTGTGGTAAGAGAGCAGGTAAGAAGAAAGAAGAGGCAATGGTTTATTAAGATTCCGGATATGCTGAGTTTGAGCTATATTCATGGCATTCTAGGAGACATCTAGAAAGTAAGGAACTTCTATATAGGAGAGAAGAGAACTGAAGATAAACTTGGGCTTTCCCATTTATTTCTAAAAACTCAAGTTTTCTAATTGGCAGTGCCCCTATACCAGTCATATGTATGGATGATTCAAAACAGACCTCAGTTTTCTGTTAATAATGAATTACTGTGTGTCAGGATATTGATCCTCTCAATCTTTGGAGCAGGCTCACACAGTCTAGTCCTGCCCAGCCCCTATGCCTCTTACCTCATCATATTTTTTTTTCCTGCTCAACTGTGCAATACAAATTTTATCATTCTCTCTCTCTCTCTCTCTCTCTCTCTCTCTCTCTCTCTCTCTCTCT